AACAGGCATTACTACATTGTCATTATGTTTTCTTGTGGGGGTATGATTTAGTTTCTTTCTCTTTCTCATTTGCATTTTTGTTCTACCAGTGGATTTTGTTCTTTCTTGTGTATTCGTGGTAGAAATTATCGTTTTTTGGATTCCTGATGCAGGACTCCCTTGAGGATTTCTCATAGGGCTGGTCATATGGTGGTGAGCTCCTGCATTTTTTGTTTGTCTGGAAAACACACTGCTTTTCCCATGTTTCTGTAGGAAGGATAGCCTTGATGGGTATAGTATTCTTGGCTGGCAGGGTTTTTTTTTTAGTAGTTCAAATATATCATCCCATTTTCTTCTAACATGTGGAGTTTCTGTTGGGAAGTCTGCTGTCAGTCTGATAGGGGTTCCCTTATAGATGACTTGATGCTTTTCTCTTGCTTCTTTTGAGATTCTCTCTTTGTCTTTGAGCTTTTCCAGTTTGACTATAATGTGTGTTGGACAGGATCTTTTGGGGTTGAATCTATTTGGGGATCTTTTAGCCTCCTGGAGCTGAAGATCCATGTTTCTCCCTATACCTGAGAGGTTTTCCATTATTATTTCATTGAATAGGTTTTCCACATCTTTTCCTTCCTCTTCTTCTTCTGGAACACCCATGATTTGAATGTTTGTGTGCTTAATGTTGTCTGCTACCTCTCAGATTTTCTTCATTTTTTAAAAATTCTTTTTTCCTTTTTTTTTTTGTCTGCCTGGAGTATTTCTAAAAGACTGTGTTCAAGATCAGAAATTCTTCTGCTTGTTCTAGCATACTGCTTAAGCTATAGGTTGTGTTTTTTATTTCATTGAGTGAATCTTTCAGTTCCATGAGTTCTGCTACATTCTTTTTTAAGGTAATAATCTTTTTGTAAACGTCCTTCTTTGTATCCTGGATTTTTTTTTTCTCTTTTCATTATGTTGTGGGAGTCTTCTCATATGTGGTTTTCCTTAAGATTGTTGCTCAGAATTCCTTTTCAGTCATTTCAAGGGTTTCCTGCTGTAGAGGTTCTGGTATTTGAGAATTACTGTATTCTTTGCGTGGTGTCATATTTTCTTGGGTTTTCATATTTCTAGTATCTCTGTTGATCAGTTTGTTCTTCTCTTACTCTGTAGTGGACTTAGAGGAGAGAGATGCCCTCTTCTTCTTCTCGTCTCTGCTGGTGTCATTCCTTGTGTTAATGTAGTTAAGTGTCTGGCAGTCCACCTGCATGGTGGCCATGGCTACTGCTGTGGTGTTAAGCTGCTTTTTTGGCAGTCATGGCTGTGGCAGTGGCTGTAGTGGGCCACCCACACAGAAGTGGTGTTTTCCGTGTGCTTCTTGCCTGTTTCCAGGCAGGGAATGCTGCTCTCAGCTCCTGCCTAGGACCCCGAATGTGCTCTGTTTCTTGTCTGCTTCCAAGTGGAGGCGGTGGCCTTTGGCTGTTACCCAAGACTTCATGTGTGCTCTGTTTCTTGCCTGTGTCCAGGCAGAGTGTGTGGCCCTCAGCTCCTGCCTAGTACCTTGGGCATGCTCTGAGAACAGTGGCTTATTTAAAGAAGCCAACAAGTTTATGATTCTGACAGTGGCAACATGGCCATTTTTGGTTCCCCTCCTGAGTGTCATTTGTATCTGTTAAATGAACTCATATTTGGATTTTTGACCTGTTGATGCCTGAGAGTTTCTGCTGGATTTTCAGTCATTTTCCATAGCATACTGACAAGTTAGAGAATAAGATTTACCTCAGAGTATGACTCATTTTTTGAATCTTCCCCCTCCCTTCCTGATCTGACCTATGTAAGGAGAGGTATTGTGTATTATTCCTGGTGTGTACCACACTTGTCCAACCTTAGTAGGGATTAAAAAAACAAAACAGCATTGCTAGAATTATAGGATGGTAAATATAAAGCAGTGTCTTTACCATGAGGCAGAAGGTAGGCCTGTGTTACTGGTGGGGGACAGGGAATAAGCATATTAAATAGGCACCATCCTTGGGCTGTCTTCTGCTAATTGTGTCATAGTGTTTCTTTCTCTCTGCCTCCTCTAATGTATTTTCATTTTAGTTCAACAAGTTGTCTTTAAAATTATGGAAAAGCACAAGTACTGATGGTCAGCAGCTCTTCTCCTCCCTCCCTTGACTCCAGTTCTATTTCTGCTTTGAGGCATTGTGGTCTGTACACCCTCTTAACTCTATGGCCTGTGGTAACTGCATGCCACGTGTTATAGATACAGCCACAAGATTTGATGATTGTACTAAGTCTTCTGTAGAAAAGGGGGCAAGAGAAAATAACTCCAGTCACTCTCTAATAAATAGATTTGAAGTTAATAAAGATTAAGGTGAGTTTACAAAACAACTCCGGGTATATCATTCTCTGAAAACCCTAAGGTCTGCTGCCTTCTACTCTAAGACATTGGTTCCCAAGAGGAGGAGTCCACCAATAATTCCCAGCCAGGTGACTGAACCACCCACTCTGAGCACTCCTGTCCTTAATCTTGAGAATCAAGGGATGAGAGTGAGACTCAGTAGGGAAGCATGTGACTTGCTGTTCTTCCACTCTAGAATGACAGTGGTTGCCCATCTCACCCCTGCCTGGTACCCTCCCTCTATTTAAATCTCTGTCCTCTCCTCCGTTATCTCCCCTCCTAATAACAATGCAAAAGGGCTTGAATTTAGAGGCTGATGCAAAGTCTACCTCCTCCCACTACCTCCTTTCTTCCCAAGCACCTGTGGTGGAGTGGGCTCTATCAGTTGGATAGAGGAGTGAACCCTGTTAAAGAATGAGCAGATTCAGAAGACTGAGGAAACATGTTGTTGGTTGAATGCCATCCCCACACCATTCTCAGGTGCTGGAAAAGCCTCGAGAAGATGACAGACAGAACAAAAGCTCTGCCTTGAGGAAAATATTACCGCAGAAACAGAAGCATTTTTTAAACATAGAATGTAATAAAATCATAAATTTATTAACATAAGAGCTCAAACTTAATAAGAGACAATAAAATGGGAAATATGGAATTAAGGGAATAAAATGAGAACAAAACAAAATAAACTAATAAATTAGGGGTTTTTTCCTCTCATTTTTTCTAATAAATAAATTTGAAACTGTAAGGAACTTAATGGTTTGAAAATTGAATTATTGACATAATGGAAAACTTTAGAAAATTTTAGAGAAAGCAAAAGGGATAAACCCAAAGAGATGAAGGCAATTTAATTCATCATAAGGGTGGTCCAGGATAAAGGTAATTGATGTCCCTAAAGTAAAGAACCTTTATTCCAAAGAAAAAATTCACCAGAAAATATATTTGAAGATATAAGAAACGTTTTCTGAAATAAATTAAGGTGCCAGAAGGCAAAGGAGCATGCAGCATTTTGAAGTGAAGAATTGGTGTATTAGCACCAATCAGGTGTTAAGATTCACATAGAGAACTAAGAGTAAAGTACTAAGCAAACAAATGCAAATATTGTACCTTCACAATCGAGAAATAAGTCAGTCTATATCTAAAGGTGAAACACATAGTTCATAAACATCTGTTTAATATACGTCTCCATTTTTCCAAATCTTAAATCCACGTGGATGTTTTGAAAATAATATCTCTTACAAAGAAATGTGGATCTTAAGTTTAGGAATTCCTTTATTTTCACTTCAGCTTCATTTTCTTTTAAGTACAATGTTAAATTTTTGTTTAAAACATATATATTATTTCTGGATATTTCAGCTGTAGGTCAAATTTTTGCATTTTCCTTTGGAGTGTAAAGCATTGTTTGATTAAGAAAAAAAAACTCTATCTATAAATTAAAGCTTATTTTCAAAAGTATATGAAACATAGCAAAATAAGCATATTGAGCCCAGCCGAAGCTCTGGTTAAATAGGTCCTGGATGGGGCCTGGTATGGGTTGGGTTTTTTTGTTGTCTCTGGTGTTATCAGCTCTGCTAGTTGCTCCTCCAAAGGATTTCTCATCTCTGTTTTTATATTTATTTTAATAGCCTGGGGCTTTCACTTTTATGGCAGCTCAGCTCCCAGGTTTTGGAAAGTTGGTGGGGAAACTACTTACCCTAGATGTGGATTATCATTTTTCATTTTGCCCACTTGCCTGGTGGAGTTGATGAGAGACATAAAGCACATCACTGACTTTATTACGTTCATCTGGAAGAGGAAAAACCGTGGAGAAACATCATGTCATAAATGAGTGGATTGAAGAATAGAAAAGATTTGCTCAACATCATTTTGTAGAGGTTAACAATACTGATACTTTTTCCCTGTTATTCTTTAGTTCACATATTTTAGTCATGAGACACCTCCCTCCACTTTTTTTGTCCTTCTTATTATGGTGGGTAAATGTATATTTAGCAGAATAGTATGGGTTTTTTTGTTTTTTCCCCATTAAACTAATATGTGAGAGCACATAAGCTGATGTCACAAGGTGACTACAATAATTTTTATTTTATGTAAATTTTTATCCTCAATAAATGCAAACAGTGTATACATTTTGATATAATATGAATTTCAAATATGTGCATTGTAACAGCTATTTAAAAATAGTGGGGAATTAAAGTGTTTAGCTTTTCTACAGATAAGTAATATAAGGTTGAAGAATTTTTGTTTGTATGCCCAAGGATACAACAAATGGAAACCAAACTAAACTGTAGCAAGTGATTATTGCTCAAACATGTAATAGTTGACAGAGATTGTTGGTGGTTAATGCTACTTAAATGCCGATTTTCCAACCAAACTAGAAATGAAGGCGTTTCATTTCTTCTTTCCTGCAATAAGTTTTACCTGTCTGTCTGCTTGCTTACCTTCCTACCATTAATGACAAAAAACATCACGATTGAATATTTTGTTCAGTTAAAATTGTGATTTTTTTTTTCACCAAGGGCCATTATGATGACTTTTTAATTTGCTGGTGAGAAACCACAAATAAGTGGATTATTTTACTTTCAGAATTTTCTGTTCGTTGATATAATTGCTATATTAGCAATGAATACTTATTGGTTCTACCAACCAATATATCATGGTCATCCCAGGTATGTCTGCTCTAAAACTGATTATATAGTAGCCCTTTTTCTCATAAGAATATCAGTATCACATATTAGAAACTTGCTGAAATGTTTGCTTTAGAAGATCCTTAATGTGATTACAGTCAAATGCCCAGCATTAAAAGGTTGAAATTTCCCCTTTGCTGGCCAGCTTTCTCAGACAGTTAGTAGATAGAGTCCTCAGCTATGAGAGTGAAAGGAGGAAGATAATTCAGTTTTGAAAATCTGGTGCTGGTATGATGGTTCCTTAAGAAAGGAACATCATGTTCTAGAAATGCACACTAAGGTCTTCGCATGAGTGTTTCAATAGATTTTGATTAGCAACATCCTTAAAATTACGAGTGTTAGAATGCAGTTTTATTAAAAATAGGCTTTCCTTAAGCAGCCTTCTTCAACTGTCATATCACCCTCATGGTAGTAATCTTAATTTTTAAAAAATTATTGTTGATGTACATACAATTTTACCAATTGGTTTTCTTTCTTTTCTTTTTTTAAAAAAAAAAAAAAAACACAGAAATCTTAGAAGCTGGTGTTAAAGGAACTTCAGAATCCCTTTTTTTTTAAAAAAAAACACAGAAATCTTAGAAGCTGGTGTTAAAGGAACTTCAGAATCCCTTAAAGGTGTGAAACGAAAAAAGATTGTAGCTGAGAATCACCTGAAAAAAATACCAAAATCCCCACTGAGAAATCCTCTTCAGGCAAAACATAAACAAATTACAGAAGATTCGTCTTTTGCTGTTCCTCAGAGTGCTTTGGAGGCTCACAAGAAACAGAATTATATTCCTGTAAAAAATGGGAAGCAGTTTACCAAACAAAATGGAGAAACATCTGGGATAATTGGTGAACCCTCAAAATTTGAAGAATCTGTTTCCCGAAAGAAGTCCTCATTTCCTCCTCACCCTCCATCTGAACTGCGTAGATGGAGATCGGAAGGCTCTGACCCCACCAAGTTCGGTGTTCTTGATGGGAAATGTGACTCGGGTTCTTTGTCAGGTAAAACCAGGACTGACAATAGTGAATGTATCTCTTCTCACTGTAGTACTACTTCCCCCCCATACACAAATACCGCATTTGATGTCTTACTGAAAGCAATGGAGCCAGAACTGAGCACTTTGTCACAAAGGGGCTCATCGTGTGCAATTAAGACAGAAAAACTGAGACCAAATAAAACTGTACAATCCCCTCCTAAATTAAAAAACAGCTCAATGGATGCCACAAATCAGACGTCACAAGAGTCCGTTGCTGAATCACAGTCTTCTCCTTGTACCTCATACACAGTACATGTATCTGCCACTCAGAAGAGTGAGCAATTGGCAGTTCAGCCAGTTCCTCATTTGTATAATCAACAGGAACACTTTGTTTCCACATCTAACCAACATAATCAGCAGCTTCCAGGGCGTTCAGCTTTCACAGGATCACTGACCACTCTGCAAAATCAAGAGAACGCCAAACTTGAACAAGTTTATAATCTAGCAGTGACGTCATCTGTAGGTCTGACTTCACCTTCCAGTAGAACTCAGGTTCCTCCTCAAAATCAGCAAATGGATTCTGCTTCACCTTTGTCAGTAAGCCCAGCCAGTTCTGCACAGTCACCCCCCACGCCAATTTATAACTCAACTCATGTTGCCTCTGTGGTTAATCAAAGTGTAGAACAAATGTGCAATCTTCTTCTGAAAGATCAGAAGCCAAAAAAACAAGGAAAATATATTTGTGAGTATTGCAATAGAGCATGTGCAAAGCCTAGTGTGCTTTTAAAGCACATCCGCTCCCACACTGGAGAGCGACCCTATCCCTGTGTGACTTGCGGATTTTCATTTAAGACTAAAAGTAATCTGTATAAGCACAAAAAATCCCACGCACATACTATCAAACTGGGTCTTGTCTTGCAGCCAGACGCTGGTGGTTTGTTCTTGTCCCACGAGTCCCCCAAAGCACTTAGCATCCATTCGGATGTAGAAGACAGCGGGGAGAGTGAGGAAGAGGGCACCACTGAGGAAAGACAGAGTGACCTGGGTGCCGTGGAACTGCATCCTATGCAAACGATGACAAGGATATTAAGTTCTGAAGCTTTACCAAAATCAAGTTCCATTCCAGGCAATCCAGAGCATGTGGTAGGTGACTTATCACTACAGGACAAATCTTCAGAATCACAAGCTGGGACAGAGCTACCAAAAGTTGTGGTCCACCCTATCAGTGTCTCCCCCTTAAGAATGGACAGTCCAAAAGTTGTTGATTCCAAGCCTGAACTTTCTGATGCACAGAAACAGAAGGACCTTCAGGTAGCAAATATACTCTCACATTCAGCCAGTGTGTCACCACCAGAGACTCAGGAGAAGTCCCATCAGAAAGTGGACACAGTTCAGCTAGAAGGCAAGCAAGACTCTCCTGTAGGAACAGTACATGCCCAACTCCAAAGGCAGCAGGCTACCGATTACTCCCAAGAGCAGCAAGGAAAACTACTTCTGAGTCCTCGGAGTTTAGGAAGTACAGATTCTGGTTACTTTTCACGTTCTGAAAGTGCCGATCAAGCAGTGAGTCCACCAACTCCCTTTGCCAGAACGTTACCCCCCACGGAGCAAGACTCAACCAAGAATAATGGGTCCTGTGCACCCCCCATGAATACGCCAGCATCCTCTGCTGTACCAGTGGGGGAAAAGGCACTGCTGTCCCCGGGTCAGATGCGCCCACCCTTGGCAACAAAAACACTCGAGGAACGGATATCGAAGCTCATCTCGGACAACGAAGCCTTGGTAGATGATAAGCAACTGGACAGCGTAAAGCCACGGAGAACCTCTCTCTCAAGACGAGGAAGTATCGATTCCCCCAAATCATACATATTTAAAGATTCTTTCCAGTTTGACTTAAAACCAGTGGGACGGAGAACAAGTTCAAGCTCGGATATACCAAAGTCCCCTTTCACCCCCACTGAGAAATCAAAACAAGTGTTTCTTCTGTCAGTACCTTCCCTTGACTGTCTGCCTATTACAAGAAGTAATTCCATGCCTACCACAGGTTATTCAGCAGTACCTGCAAATATAATCCCTCCCTCTCATCCACTGAGAGGAAGCCAGTCATTTGATGACAAAATTGGCGCTTTCTATGATGATGTCTTTGTGTCAGGACCCAACACCTCTGTGCCCCCGAGTGCACATCCCCGTACGCTTGTCAGACAAGCAGCAATAGAAGACTCTTCAACAAATGAAAGTCACGTTCTAGGGACTGGGCAGTCCTCGGACGAAAGCTACCAAGGATCCCATGCCAGTGGCGAAGCTTTATCAGCCAGGAGCAAGGCCACGGCCCAAGGCTCACAATTAGAAAAGAAGAAGTCCCATCAAGGGCGAGGGACAATGTTTGAGTGTGAAACCTGTAGAAACAGGTACAGGAAACTGGAAAACTTTGAAAACCATAAGAAATTTTACTGTTCAGAGTTACATGGCCCCAAAACAAGGGTAACTCTGAGAGAACCTGAACACAGCCCTGTGCCTAGTGGCACACAACCTCAGATTCTGCACTACAGAGTCACCAGTGCCACTGGTGTCTGGGAACAGACACCCCAGATAAGGAAAAGGAGGAAAATGAAAAGCGTGGGAGACGACGATGAACTTCAGCAAAGTGAAAGTGGAATTTCTCCAAAAAGCTCTGAAGTCCTTCAGTTTCAGAATACTCTGGGCTCTTCTCCCAGTTTGTCTAAACATAATGTTGCCATAACAAGTGACCAACAGCATAGACATATACAGTTGCAAAACTCCCAAATTCAGCTTTTTGCCAGGGGCCCTGAACAGACTGTGGATTCAAAGCTGTCTACCATCACGGAGCAACAGATAAGTTCAGCTGCCCAGGATAAGACAGAGGTAAAGAGACACGGGACTGGAATCTCAGTCATCCAGCATACCAACTCACTGAGCAGACCCAATTCATTTGACAAACTTGAGCCTTTTGAAATGGGTTCCCCAGTTTCCTTCCAGGAGCTAAGTAGAACAGGGAAGCTCAGGTCTCTGAAAGTAATAGGAATCTCCCAAGAGGAAAGTCACCCTTCTCAGGATGTGTCTCATCTCCACCAGCCTGCACTGTCAGATGCTCTTAGAGGAGAACTTCAGGAAAGCTCAAAAAATATTTCAACTGAACGACATGTGTTAGGACAGCCCTTAAGACTTGTCCGGCAGCCAAACATCCAAGTCCCAGAAATTCTTGTCACAGAAGAGCCAGATCGGGACTTGGAAGCCCAGGGCCACGATCAAGAAAAATCAGAGAAGTTCAGTTGGCCTCAGCGTAGTGAGACTTTGTCAAAATTGCCAACAGAGAAACTTCCACCCAAAAAGAAAAGGCTCCGTCTGGCTGAGATAGAGCATTCCTCAACTGAGTCCAGCTTTGATTCCACTCTGTCCAGGAGTCTGAGCAGGGACAGCAGTTTATCACACACTTCAAGTTTCTCAGCCTCGTTAGACATAGAGGACATTTCTAAAATGGAGGCTTCCCCCAAAATCGATTTTCTAAATAAAGCTGAGTTTCTTGTTCTTCCAGCTGGCTCAAATACACTGAGTGTTCCTGGAAGTCACCGGGAAATGAGGCGTGCTGCATCAGAGCAGATTAATTGCATGCAGACATCGATGGAGGTCTCTGATTTCAGAAGTAAGTCATTTGACTGTGGAGGCATAACCCCAACCCAGACGCCACCACTGGTTGAACCGCAGCCTCCCACCTCCCCTTCTGGCATGGGGGTCACCGGGCACGTGCCTCTTTTAGAGAGAAGGAGAGGCCCATTGATACGGCAGATATCTTTAAACATAGCTCCAGATAGTCATCTGTCTCCTGTAAACCCATCATCTCTTCAAAATGTTGCTCTTCCCAGTGTGAACGCCTTGCCATTTCAGGGGCCTCAGCTCACTGATCCATCTTTAGCTGAATTTCCTACAAATTCCTTACACTCCAAGACTCAAGTTAAGGATCTCCAGGCAGAAACGTCAAATTCTAGCTCTACTAACATCTTTCCTGTTCAGCAGCTTTTTGGTATCAGTTTGTTAAATCAAATCCATGCAACTGTTAGCCATCAGAATGCACATCAGTCTCTGCAAGTGTCTACACAGGCTGGCAAACCAGATGCAAGTTCCACTTCATGTGTGTCTTCTGAAAGTGAGTATTGCTTTGCTCCCAAGTACCAACTTCAGTGTCAGGTTTTCACTTCAAGCCAGTCTTGCTCTTCCAATCCTGTACGTCCATTGGCAAGTCAAGTTCTTTCAGATGCAGTTGGAGCAGATCATTGCACAACCTCAGTAGCATTACCAGTCAAATCAGTAGATACCATGTCCAATTTGTGTCCTCTGCCCCTGCTGGAGCTCGCGTCACTTGGCAGTCAGGTGCAGAAGGTGCCAACATCATTTATGCTGCCCACATGTCTGCAGGGTAATGTTCCCACTTACTGTGTTGCCACAGTCACATCTCTGCCACAAATCCTGGTGACCCAAGATCTAGCCAGTAAGCCAGTTTGCCAGGCTAATCATACTATAGTGCCAATCAGCGAAGAACAGAATTCCATGCCAAAATTACAGAAAGATCACCAGAATGCTTTGCCAAACCCAGAGAAAGAACTTGTGTGTGAAAATGTTTTTTCAGAGATAGGCCAAAATTCTTCTCTATCAGAATCCTCGCCCATAACTCAGAAAATGTCTGTTGGTAGACTATGTCTCCAATCAGAATCTTCAGCTTCAAGTAAAAGGATGCTTTCCCCAGCAAATAGTTTAGACATTGCCATGGAAAAGCACCAGAAGCGGGCTAAAGATGAAAATGGAGCTGTGTGTGCAACAGATATTAGACCAGTAGAACCATTGAGTTCAGGAGCTACTGAAGTTAATAAACAGAAGAAACCTGTTTTAGTGAGGCAGGTTTGTACTACAGAGCCCCTTGAAGGTGTGATATTGGAACAGGATGTTTTTTCTCAACCTGAAATTAATAGTGAGGCTGTTAATTTGACAAATGTTTTAACTGCTGATAATTCCTCATCTGGACACTCTAAGTTTGTAGTTATAGAACCTTTAACAGGATGTTTTTTCTCAACCTGAAATTAATAGTGAGGCTGTTAATTTGACAGATGTTTTAACTGCTGATAATTCCTCATCTGGACACTCTAAGTTTGTAGTTATAGAACCTTTAAATGAATTGCAAGAATTTGAAAACATCAAGACATCAGCATCATCGTTAATTCTTCCAGTTCAAAATTCACCTGTCCCTTCAGAAAACACTCTTATTTCTCCTTTGAAGTATGTAGACAATAACCAAGAAGGGAAGTCTCCAGGGGTTAAAAATCAAGGTGACAAAGTGAGCATCCAAGAACAAAGTCAGCTACCAACAACTGTCTCATTGTTCAGCGCTGGAGACACACAGCAGCTGTCCTTCCCCAGCCTTAAGACTGCTACTAACTTTACGTGGTGTTATCTGTCGAGACTGAAGTCACTGCATTTGCCGCAGAATGACCCGAAAACTTCGGCCTATACTGATTGGACAGTAAGCTCCAGTAATCCAAATCCACTTGGTTTACCTACAAAAGTTGCTCTTTCTCTGTTTAATTCCAAACAGAAGACTGGAAAATCACTATATTGTCAAGCAATAACCACCCATTCTAAATCAGATGTACTGGTCTATTCAAGCAAGTGGAAAAGCAACTTAAACAAGGTATGTAAGATATAATTTATCTTCAAATATGGTTTCTTTAAATTAGTTTTAACATGTCTTGATGCCTTTAAGTATTTTAGTTGGAAATATTTTAATTTTGAATGAGAAATTGTACTTTATGTGTATAGTTATTTGAAAGACAGGGTGATATATTTACCCTGGGAGTTACACTGATAAGGGTTGCCTGGAGTTATATCAGCTTGAAACATTTTGGGAAATAACTTACCTTGAGCACTTTTTTTTTTTTTTTTTTTTAATCACTCACTGACTCTTTACTTAATGGTGCAGATAATCATGGTTTTACTTTGATTTTTCTCTTATATTAAGGTTTTGTTTTTATTGTTGAGTGAGAGGAGATTATGGTAATGCTTTGTTCTTGCTAATGCAGGGAAACAGAGGTGTGGCTAATAGAAGGTTGGTATATTCCATTTGAAGTATAAGCAGAGAGCCATTCACACATTTCTTGCACATGCTAACCACTCTCCCCTCACCATGCCCATCCCAGCTCTCTTCCAGTGTAGCGCTGAGAATCATCAGTACTAAACAGAAGATCCATAAAATAATTCATGTGCTTGATAAGTTGATTTGGTCAAGACTTAGAGAGTAATTTAAGGGTGTGAAACTATAATTTTGGGTAGTTACTGGAATCTCATTGGAATTGTTGGCTTTATAAAATGAGAAAAATCATTTAAGCGATTAAGAATAAATAAACAAATAAGGGTATCACATTAAACTCTGGACATTGAGAATTATAGATTAAGCCTTTGACTTCTATAGGTTCACAAGCATATAGTAAAAGTTCATAAACGTTTACATTCCTATCAATAAGAAAATATTGCAGTATCAGTGTTATAGTAGAAGTATATACAATTTTTAAAGAAGGAGGTCTCTAATGTTGCCAGCAGGTGGAGGACATACAGATATAGGAAAGATACTCCAATGGTGGTGATACTTTATTTAGCTGGGTCTTAAAAAAAGAAAGAAAGAAAAAAAAGCAGGGATTTTTTTTTTTAGGCAAACGAATAAAAATTTTAACGATCTACTAAATTACATGGAAATAAGAACAAACTTTTTTCACTTAAAGAACTACAAGGAGTAGTTCTTTTTTACTACAAGGAGTAGTAGTTCATGCTAGACATGAACTAGCATGGCTACATTTTGTAAGTATGCAACAGTAACATACTTTGAAGTTGGAAATGTAGGTAAAAACTAAAGCATATACATGGTGGTATGGGACCATTGTTACTTTCTCAGTGAAGGAAAGTACATTCAAGTTATTTGTGGATTTTTTTTTTTTTTTTTCCTTTTTTTGTCTTTTTTCGTGTCCGGCAACAGATCGCAACCCT